TGACATCCTTACGTAGCATCTTCAAAACTTACTTATGATGATATAGCATCTACAAGACTTCAATCCTCAAATTCTTATCTCAAAAGGCCGGTAACGCACTTGTAACACCTCTGGTGATTCGAGTGTCCATAAGCGACGCCGATTGCTTACCATCAGGTGATCCGTCTGCTCTTTTACTGGCTTATTCAATAAGAAACTCATCATCGACAGCTCGGTGACTGTTCACAGCTAGACTACGAGCCTCATGCTTAACACGTGGACTGGAAATCACAGTTAAAAGGTTCAGGTTGAATCAGAGAGAGAGAGAGAGAGAGCTACTGCCCAGTCTATCATATGTGTAGATCCTTGGTCGTCTATTTGGATATCTGCAGGATGAGCAGGATGGGGTAACTAGTGTTTTCTGCACGGTTGGTGCGGTAGCTGGGCAACCGACTGCCGCGCAACGTGTGGCGGGTTCGATTCGCGCAACTCTTTGTGTGATCCACAAATTGTTGTTTCGGGTCTGGGTGGCATGTGTATTTTTGTCTACCATCACTATACAGTCCTAATTGGTAATATGAATGAGAACAATAACATAACTGTAGATAATTATTTTGTAAATTACATTAAAAAACCGGTATTTCAACCTCCTCTGCTTTTAAAAGTCGGTTAATTCATATACTAAAACCTTCTCCTAAGTGTAACAAACACTTTTACATACATACATATCTTCAGGTCAAACTAAGAGCCTCTTTTTTTTAAAGTCTGTTATAAACTGTCCTATAACTCCCACTTCTTCAAGGAATATAACGTTATCTTACTATCTAAAACAAAGTTACTTGTTGTAAAAAGTGTGTCATTGTCAAGTGATTCATGTATTGTGTATGATCTAAGGTGGGAGTTTGTTGACTAATTTTATAGAGGTAAATGACTTCTTGCTTATTTTTGGATAGGTCAATAAACACTGTTATTATACTTTATCGTTTTAAGTGTGGGAGAGCCATAGTTCGGCACGAATGGGACGGTTAGACTGGAGTGATACCACGGCCTCACAGAAAACTGACGTGAAACAACGTTTGGGTTGTTTTCATCGTGTGAGCCTCTCTCCCTGTCTCTCCAATCCCCGAATCCCCCACAATCCTCAAATCTTCAATTTCTAAAAGGCTGGTAGCGCACTTGTACCGCCTCTGGTGTGTCAGGTGTCCATGGGCGGCACCGATTGCTTACCATCAGGTGATCCGTCTGCTCGTTTACGATTTACGATATAGTTCAAACGGCGAACAGTACCTATTTTGTATATTTTGTAGGTCAGTCTTTGGTTACTATCTCGCCTAGTGGTGGTGTGATGGTGTGGCCGAGGATGGAGCACGCGGGTTTTTTTTTGAAGGGGGAAAATCATATCTCCCGCCTTGGGTTGATGATACCCGGGTTGTAAATATCAAAATTATAGTCCTTCATACATATGATTTTTATCTCTCATCCTATCATAACTTCGCGCCTTTTATCCCCGAAGGGATAGGCAGAGGTGCAAATTATGGCACTCACTGCCACTGTACAATGTAACACCCACTTTTCACTATTATGTTACGAGTCCCATGTAATAGGGACGAGCCTATTGTCAATTTGCACTTCTGCTAACCTCTTCGGCATAAAAGGCGTGATGTTATGTTATGTTATTTTAATATGAATCGAAGTGGCGTTCAACCAACCGTGCATATAACAACTGGGTATCATGGTGACACACTTGACTGCATGCTACCCTATTGTCGGTGACATTTCATTACCCTCGAGTAATGACTGTCTTTCCATATAGTTACCACAGACATTGTGGATTTACCAGGGGATGTTGTTGAAACCTTTGGATTATAGACGGCATTTACTGTAAAAATAATGTCATAAGACGCCTCAGAAGGTGTAGACAAAGGTTTTTTTTTAAATAAGATAAGCCGTATTACCTGATGGTAAGCAATCGGCGTCGCTCATGGAACCCTGGAATACCAGAGGCGTTAGAAGTGCGTTACCGGACTTTAGGAGTTTGAGAATTCTTGGAATTAAGGGATTGTTGGGGTAATTGGATCTCCAGTAACCTCAGTCGCACGATGAAACATAACGCAAGCGATGTTTCACGTCGGTTTTATGTGAGGCCGTGGTATCACTCCGCTCAAGCCGGCCCATTCGTGCCGAAGCATGGCTCTCCCACACTTAACAACGGTATACTTAAATAGTTTTCATCAGTTTTGTAAATCACTGGATTTGTCAGATCATACTCTTTCCTAATCCCTAAATCCTCAAATCCCTAAATCCCAAACTCTGAAAGGCTGGCAATGCAAACTCACGCAACAGTGCCTATATAGGCAGAGCCGATTGCTTAGGATTAAGTGATCCAGCTTCTAGCTTGCCGCTAAAAATACGAATCCAATCGAGCGAATCGGATATGGACTTCAGTACTTCACAATCAGCAGTCACATTTGCAACCACGAAACCAACAAGGCATGTATCATTTATAATCTACAACAAGATTGATGACTGTTGATGAAGCGAAAGAGGTATGTAGGAAGTCAAAATCAAAGTCAAAATCATTTATTTCAATTAGACCAGGATGGCACTTTTGAACGTCAAACAACAAAAATTTAGAAGTTGCTCATTCACTTCTAAATTGAGAAGGTGTAGATTCCTATGGAGAAGAACGAGCAAGAAACTCCATAGGTTACTCTTTTTCAATCAGGTTTACAATACAATTCTCTAGTTACATAGTTTTATTGGTTCGATTGTGTGAGAACAATGCAACACCCAAATCCAGTCAAAGATACTGAAAAAGAAAATAACCTTGAGGATAATAAAATCGTAAGGAATCGTAGTAATTGGCGTTCCCTGGTCAATGTATGTATGTATGAAATCAACAACAAACTATTATATGAAGTATCATGTCATAGAGAATTATAACGATCATCGCCAGCCGACGCGATGTCTTGCAACATATAACCACTTACATTGCGATATCATCACGCTACTTATTTTTATATCGTAAGCAGCTATTATGGAGCCAAGGTTACATTGTTAGACTATAGTGATTAGGTTATTTTGGTTAGTCTAGAGTTTTCTATGAAAGTGAGAGATCACGCATGAGCACTATGTTATGATACCCTTTTTTTTGGTTTTTTATTATTTTTTTCTTTTTGATGACTGGTGGAAACCTTCAAACGGCGTCTAGATTTTCGGGGATAAAAGACTTGGAAGTGTGGTATTTGCACCTCACGAAAACCTGGTGGACCACACCTCAATACCTGTATGGAGGCACCGGATCCTTTAAAAGAGACCTGCTCCGGAGCAGCGCCTGTTACGGCACATCCCTAGAGAGATGGTTGTCCCGTATATCCCTACCATCCCTAAGCAGTCACCGGTGACCGCTCTCCATTAACTACATTATAGACCTTATTTCCAATGTTTAGAGACTACTTTTGTGTGACCAAATTTAGGGGATGATTTTCAACGGTCTCCTTTGAGCCTTACTGTGTACGGCGGCACGTGACCATTGTGCCACCATCTTCGCTGAGAGCACAGGGTGATATTATGATACCTATGTAATAAGCGCGAGCTAACTAGACATCAGATACAATTCCAGACTACGTGCTATTAGGTACTGTCAATTTTACTTTGCATGCTTTGTCCGACTCGGGCATCGAACCCGAGACCCCTTGCTTCTCTTGATCAACGAGGCACTCGATACTATAAATTTATTAGTCACCGATTTACATAATATAACATCACGCTGTTTATCCCCGAAGGGTTAGGCAGAGGTGCATATTACGGCACTTAATGCCCCTGTACAATTAACACCCACTTTTCACTATTTATGTTATGAGGCCCATGTAATAAGGGGTGACCCTATTGCCATATACCGAGTACAATTCCAGCCTCCATGCTACCACTGAGATTTTTTTTAAAACCCAGTAGTACTTTGCCTGACCCGGGAATCGAACCCGAGACCCCTTGCCCGGCAGTCGCACTTGCGACGAGTCGGCCAACGAGGCACTACCGAATCATTAACAAATAATAAGTACATACTTATCTTTTAACACCTTTTGGTGTCTTCTTTGTCCTAGTAACACTGCTTGCCCCATTTTATGGAAAAAGCGTGATATTACCGAAACCTAACCTCATTAAAATAATCAGTACTTAGTGACCATGATTTAATGATAAAAATAACAAACATGGTAACGTTAATTAATTGTTAGGTTATCGAATTTAAATAAAATAATATAATTATGTATTTTGTGAAATTAAGTAAGGGGGAGTGTACACGTACGTAATTTCATTTTTGTTTTGATTTTCGGGAAGGGCATTGGACTTATCTTCTTCGTAAGAGGGATACTGCTACAATCTCGCCTTATAAACGGGTTGGAAATCATAGTTTCAAAATATAATGTATAAGTGGAGAGCCATGCTTCGGCACGAATGGGCCGGCTCGACCGGAGTGATACCACGATCTTACAGAAAACCGACGTGAAGCAACGCTTGCGTTGTGTTTCATCGTGTGAGTGAGGTTACCGCAGGCCCAATTACCCTCCCCTTCCCCAATCTCCCCAATTCCTGAATCCCCAACGATCCTTAAACTCCTAATCCCCAAAAGGCCGGTAACGCACTTGTAACGCCTCTGGTGTTTCAGGTGTCAATGGGCGACGTCCGTATGCTCGTTTACCGGCTTATGCCATGAAAAAAAAATTGAAAGAGTAATAATGCCCGCCTCAGCCAAAATGTTGCAGTTCCTTATATAAGAACAAAATATTATTCCTTACGGAAGAATATTTTTCCTTAGGGAAATTCGTCGTCATCACACGACTCGAAAGAAGCAGGCATTTGGAATAATTAAACAAAAGGCGAAACTATTCAAATTCAATTATAGACCAGGACTTATCTAAAGCTGAACACTAATATGTACCGACCTTTATCGGTATAGTTCCATATAAATTGCGATATATCGCAATAATTGTGTCAATCCATCGTTAGTTAGGTTAGGCAAGATGGCGGCCCTTCCCGCCTTTTTAGTTTTGTTCCTGTACGTCTCTTTAGCGTCAGGCTACACTTTGTTACGTAAGTTAGTTCTTTGATTTTTATTCTCTTAATAACTATTTTGTTTTTAAGTTTTTATTCTGTCCATAGTTCTAAGATTATTTATATACCACAGATTAACGAAGGAAAACATTGTGAGGAAATTTGGGTTAATATCATTTTTCTTATTATAAGTTTGTAATTGACAACGCACATTGAGTTAGCGTGGCGATTAATGCTCAAACCTTCTCCGTGTGAGAAAAGAACGTTGTTCAGCAGTGGCCACTTATAGGGCTCGAAAATTACGATGCGAATTGCTGCGACGCGATTTCGTGAGACAAGGTGTCGCCCAGAGTGACCATTCCTTCGACGATCGTTAACCGTACTAAACGTATTTTAAATTGAAAACTAGTTCGTGACATCGATCGTAAAAATAAGTGTGCACTTCTGTTATCGCTTAGGAGATACAGGAAAAAGAAACAGAGAAGATTTTGGGAAGAATCAGAATCAATTCGCAAGGTCTTGCGATGCGTAGAGGGTGCTCGCATATTTTTGCGTCGTATCGCAGTTTTGTGTACGACCCCGTAGGCTGTCGATGATGATTGTACTCATAGTCAAAATCACATGCCTTTTGGTGGCAATTTAATAAAGCTGTAATGGATTAATATTCGGATTTAAACCAAAGTTAATACTGTAATGTGTATACCTTCAACAGGAGATGACGAGAACGAAATAATATGGCCGTCCGTATACCACTTTAAGGGGGAAAAGCTGAACTTCAAATCCACTCTAAAAGAAAACTTTGAGATGTGGTAAGTAATGAAATCTAGCATTATAGTTCTTACCTGTCTGTGGTATAACTCCTAAAAGGAACAGTGCTGTGGAGGATTTAACGGGTTACCGGAGCTCCGGCTCGAAGTGCAGGAGTAGGAACAGGGTGGTTTTTATTCAGCAAGAGTCTGACACTCCCTCCCGCCTCACCCAGGCGGGAGAAATCATTCGATAACTTTTCCACCTCAAAAAAAAAAACTCCTAAAAGGAGGAACTGATTCCAGTTTACTTTATTTATTGAATAGTTCTTCTTAGCGAGCGTTAGATCTTCATACTTATATTATACTAGCTTCTGCCCGCGACTTCGTACGCGTAATCCCATTTTTTCCCGTCCCCGTTCGTGATTTTCGGTAAAAAGTAAAAAAAAGTATTGATTAAAAAGTATCCTATGTCGGTCTCCTGGCTCTAAGCTACCTCCCTACCAATTTTCAGCCAAATCTATTCTGCCGTTCTTGAGTTATAAGTGGTGTAACTAACACGACTTTCTTTTATATATATAGATGTATAACTTTGTGTTTTTCCCTAGGTACAATGGTGAAGTAAATCGCTCCAGGATAGACTTCTATGATGGAACTGTCAAGAAGTGGTACTACGGTGACACTGGATACGAATATGTGGTATGAAATTGATATCCTGTGATTTAGTTTAACCTTTTACTTTAAAATCCTTGTACCATTAAAAAGAGGGTATTTTAACTCAGATTACGACAAAGGAGAGTGCTTAAAAATACCCAGAGTCGATTAAAATTATTGACACACATACACACGTCTGATCCCTGAAGGGGTAGACAGAGGTGCACATTACGGCACTTAATGCCACTGTGCAATGTAACACCCACTTTTCACTATTTATGTTATGAGTCCCATGTAATAGGGGGTGAGTCTATTGCCATATACCGGGCACATTTTCAGGCTCCGTGTTACTACTGAGATTTTTTTTAAAGTAATACTTTGCTCGACCCTGGAGTCGAACCCGAGACGAGGCCGAGTGGTCGCAAGTGCAACTGCCGGACAAGGCGTCACGGGTTCGATTCTCGGGTCGGGTAAAGTATTACTGGGTTTGTAGAAACCTCAGTAGTAGCACGGAGTCTGCTATTACATGGGACTCATAAATAAACATCTTGAAAAGTCTTTACATTGTACTGTGGCATTAAGTGCCGTAATGTGCACCTCTGCCTACCCCTTTGGGGATAAAAGGCGTGATGTCATGTTATGTTATTCTTCTACTAGTTAGAATTTAACCTAGAAAAATTGCCCAATAAAGTTATTTGCCCTATCAATAGTTACATACAAATGAAGACTACTTTCAGAAACACCCATACACCACTGAGGAGGTAACAAATGATGAGGTGTGCATCGTCCGATACTCCGAAGATGAACAGATTGACTTCTTGCCTGACGTCTCTAGTTTTACATACACAGGTAATATAACAAAACCTCACGGAAATGACATCGATTCTGCAGTTGTAGCCAAATGCCATCTAGCGCTTGTATACTTTTCACTATTTATGTTATGAGTCCCATGTAATAAGGGGTAAGCCTATTGCCATATACGGTCACAATTCCCGACTCCGTGCTACTGCTGAGATTTTTTTAAAACCTCGCGCTGACGGCCCTATTTTCCTATTGAACCGAACGCTCAAGTACGAGCGTAATCGACACGCCCCCTTGCAACTGCTCCTTTTTTAATATTTCTGTGTTTAAATCCCTGTAATGCTTTGCCCGACCCGGGAATCGAACCTGAGACCCCTTGCCCGGCAGTCGCATTTGCGACCACTCGACCAAGGAGCAGTAATTTCCTTTTATTAGTCACTGCGATTCATTTTCTGGTATTACTACCAATTTCTACCAATGTATAAATATGTATAATGTATATCGAGGGGTAACGGGCTATTTGGTTTAAGCGACATTTTGGGCGATATTGAGTTATATATATATTCGGAATCAGCGAATTTTTCTCCGTCGAATGATGCCGGTTTCATTAAAATCGGAGCACTTTTTTGGCGTTTCAAACAATTCTATTTTCATGTTGTTTCCAAAGTGGCAGTGTATTAAACGACATGGATTTCGCATTTTTTATTAAATTATGTACTTGAACCATACCATCATATTAATAACCGAGACATAAACCAGTCACCCTATCTCTAATGATTAAGTCAACATGAGTTAAAGCGTTTTTCTTGTTTCTAATTTTTATTAACAAGTAACTTGAATCATTTTGACTTCCTACTAATCACACGGTGTGATGTCGCTTAAAACATTTCTCCGTCATCCAAATGCGTCATGGTACGTCTCTTAAACATTTCTAGCTGCCTCTATTTTACACGCAGGGTGCTACTTAAACCAAATAGTTGTTTTCGTTCAGATATTTTGTTTAGTCATAAACCATTTAACCCTCATTTTTTTTTTAAATGCATGTCGTTTTATACAGACGATAACATTGATAATGAATATTGAAACATTTTTCCAGTATTCATAGAAATACGACTCGGTCTTTCAATCACTAAGTTTTAATATGGTACATTTCAATCATGTCATATGATACCATATTTAATTCATCGCCCTGGTGTTAAAAATCGTTATCATCCAACTGGACTATCGTGCGCTGGCGCTTCAGTCACTCCAGAGTGCGCCGAAGACAGACCGGACGCGTGCACACCGCCAGTGTTTACGTAAAACGCTCATCGAAATTGAATCCTAAGTACTTTAATTTCAAGATGAACCTCGCGGTCGTTCGAAGACTTTGGCAACAATGACTTTGATGACATACAATCTACGGCTGATTTAGCAACAGCTTTCGACGTTAGCGTCAAAACAATATTGGTACATTTGCGTCAAATTGGCAAGGTAAAAAAGTTTGATAAGTGGGTGTCCCACAAACTAAATGATCAACAGAGCTAAGTATGCATCGAGCAGTGCGAGGGGGACTGGGATGCCGTCTCCTCCTGTTGCGAAGCAGTTATGCTAGCTAAGGAGGAGGCGGGACGCGTGAGGCAGCGAAGCGCTGGCTCCTCGCAACCCAGCCATCGCGAAGGACACACCTGGCGTCGGGGATCGCGGGACGATCTCCAGTTACCGTAAGCGCGGGCCTGCGGACGGTGAGCATCGGTGGCTCCCCGTCCGACCAGAAACAGACCCGAGCGTACGGCGCGTCGCGTTCCGCGCGCGCCTCAAAGAGCCATCAGACCACCACAGATGGGGCCCAACAGGGTCGATGCCGATTCGGAGTCGCGGAGAACCTAACGGGTAACCGGGGCTCCGGCTCGACGTGCAGGAGAAAAAACGGGGTGATTTTTAGTCAGTAAGAGTCTGACACTCTTTCCCGCCTCACCCAGGCGGGAGCAGTCATTCGATGATTTTCCACCCTTAAAAAAAATGCATCGAGTAGTGCCTTGCACTGCACTGCTCAATATAGAGGTACACACAAATGAAAGAATTTTGATTTGCATTGTCACCTCCGATGAAAAATGAAATCTGTGTGATAACCACACGCGTTTAGCATGTTGGTTGAATCCTAGTTCAGCACCTAAACAATGCCCTAAACGAAAACTTACCCCTAGAAAAGTGATGGTCACTGATGGTCTAGCGCTCGCGCTATTCTGATTCATCACAAATTCTTACCAAACGGAGTGAGCATTACTACGGATGTGTAGTGTGAAGAACTGAACACAATGATGGAGAAACTGACACATCTCCAACCAGCACTGGTCAATCGCTAATCTCCATTGCTTCTGCATTACAACGCGCGACCTAAAGCTGCACAAGAGACGGCCTCCACGTTACAAGAACTGGGGTTGTGAAGCTCTCCGACATCCACCCTACTCACCAGTCACCAGACTACTTCTTTTTCCAGAATTTGGATAACTTCTTGGCGGGAAAAATTTTTATAACCGAGAGGCAGTACAAAATGCATTTGAAGAATTTGTTGCTACCCGTCCAGCTGATTGAAGAAGGGCATCAATAAACTGCCACTGCGTTGGCAACGATGCATTGATTGCATGGGTGGTTACGTTGATTATACAAATAAAAAATACATGAAAAAATCGTTTAAATTTTTTCATACAAAACGGCAATTTCAGTAAATGACCCATTAATTTAATTGATTTTGCTGAAATAATTATAATCGATATTCCTATTGAAACTGTAATTATTACTCTAAATAAATACTTTGATATTGTGTTGTGTTTATTTATTCAATGTAAGCATCTGAGATTTTCGGTGATTGCGATATATCCAGGTTGTTTTATCAGCCATTAATCGCCTTACATGTAAATAAACATAAACATTAAACGTTATAATTTCAATGTTATATGTCACATAAGTAAATTAGCCTGTCACTCATTTTAGTCTGAATTGGTAGTTAAGATAAATAGCTTGCTTCTATTAATTTTGGCTTTCGTCATTTCATATTTTTTAGCTTACTCTGTAAACAGAGTGCATTGTCGCTTAATTTTTTTTCCTTGTAGCCAATTGTAGTTATGAAGTCACTTAAATCATTTTTCCTGACTTTAAAAAAGGGCAGATTGTATTAAGCGACATTTATCTTTGTAATTAAAGGTCCGCTTTATTTAGAATTAGCATCAGCAACTAGATAATTTAATTTAAATTTCAATGCAATTTACCCCGTTCAAATAACTGCAGAAGCGTTTTTGTTACGAATTTTTTTTCGAAATTTCAAACTTTAAAAGGCTCTCCTGTAAAGTTGCAAAAATGTCGCTTAAACCAAATAGCCCGTTACCCCTCGAATATGTATAGTGACCAGATTGGCGATATATTAAAGAAGGACCAAATTAAAAGTACCCTTAACCGATGAGCATGCATGAAATATTGCTGACTGTTGATGAAGGTAGGAACCGTAGTAATTGGCGTTCCCTAGTCTCTACCTACCCCCATGGGAGACCAGCGTGAAGTTATGTATGCATGTGTCTCTGGTGTTCAGGTCAGACAATGACCCTGTACGACAAGGTGGTGGATGTATGGACCAGCGAAGAACAGCAAGAAGGCAAGGTCGTCAAGGAGTCTACTCTGTACGTCTTCAAGACTGATGCCGGCGTCGATATTCCAGTGCAGTGAGTATAATAATATGTTCAAAGTATTCGTCTCAAACTCAGTTATTTAATGTTACCAATATAACACAGTTTACATAATATTTATTTTGTTAATACATGGATTTATAAAGGTATTGTTACTAAAATAGCATGCTATAAAGCGTTCTATTGAGCATGACCAAAATCGAACGCCTTTCGATTTGCGAACATACCTGGGGGTTTACTCTTGAATCCAATTCCGATCGATCGACATTGGTATTGTGAAATTTCGTACTGTTGAGTTGCAACACTAGCGCCCATTGCACCCGTATTGCGTGGATATTGAATGTACTAAATGGTATTAAGTTTGGCTTTACATTCCGTACTCTGAATGCTATTTTAATAGCTACGTTAGGGGTTGTATAGTTTTGACATTGAATAATTATTGAGATTTTGCACTTTTTTTGATTGAGCACCCTGGGCGCTTACTCTTGAAACCAATCTAAATGTCAATGCAATTTCAATCCAATAAAATCTCAATAATTATTCAATGTCAACACCGTACAACAACAATCGTAGCTGTTAAAAAAAATCAGAGTACGGAATATAAAGCCAAACTCAATACCATTTAGTTCATTTAATATCCACGCATTACGTATGCAATGGACGCTAGTGCTGCAACTCAAGAGTACGAAATTTTACAATACCAATGTCGATCGATCGAAACTGGATTCAAGAGTAAGCCCTCTGTAATGAGCATGCTAATTTTGAGCAACATTCACACTTGCTATTAAGTGCCACGTACTCGATTGAAGCATGCTTTTGTGCTTGATATTAGCATGTGTAACAGTACCTATAAAGGCTTATTCTAATTCCTCTAGGCATGTAAGCAAGGTGTACAACTACGACCTTGGAGAGCTGGCTAGTCACGTCATCACCAACTTCTACGACTTCAGCGATGAAGTTGATGAAGATGAGCTGAATGTTGGAGATGGTAAGTTTATCAGTAATCTTGTTATTTTATTCCATTTTAATGAAAGGTACCACTTTTCTGCTTACCAGATGACCCAAATGTCGGAAGAGATTTTTTCTCCAATCTCTGTAGCTGTCAAATATTAAACGTCCAATGATGTAATACTAGGTCATTCCCTATTGAACGAAAAGACGAGAGATTTACACTAGCTCCATCTAGTCAGCAAAAATCGCTTATCTCCATTCAGTGCGAGCCTATGGTCGAATACTGGACAAAAACATAAAATTCGTACCGTACGTATTATACTAATGAGTTCAAACTTCGTGACAAGTTTAATGGCCATCCACAAAATTCAAGAATTTCGTTCAATTCGAGTACCTATCAAATTCAGTATTATAATATTTATAATTCCTTTAAACTGTACTATCTCCTATCGGTTGCATTTGCAACTACCTGAACAAGGAATCAGTGCATGATTAGCAAAAAACCAGTCTCCGTTTCAAGTTTTACAATCGTATCTTTTTCTAGAGGACGACTGCGAAGGCTCATTCTTGGGTAAGGACTTCCACAAGGACATTAGGTTCTTCCACCCTGACATTCCATCAGAGCTGGACCTGGCATTCGACCTGTACACCAACCACCACGGCAAGCAGTACCAAGATAACGAACATCAGCGCAGGAAGGCTATCTTCGAGAGCAACTGGAGGTGAGCATTTTTGGATGTAAAGAGGACCAATAGGGTAGATGCCTAATTTTTATTTTAATGTCTGTCTGGTAGATTATTTTAAATCATTAGACACGTATTTTTTATTTTCTTACAGAAACCAATACTTTCGACGATACATTGATTTGAAATGTCGCGTGACGTCACTTCTATGTGTACATTTCATACGTAGAAATGACGTTTTAGCCCCCACTCCTAAACTTTGATTCGTTTTATCTAAGTATTGTTTTGTTATACGACAAAATAAAAAAATACGTGTCTAATATTTTCTCATTACCTAACTTACGGACTAATTATATTTTTAATTTTCATACCCTGTCATCATCTCAATTATAAAACATAATAATATATTTACCATATAACCATGAAATCTGAGTATAATTGCGACTAGGTGCGAAAGATGGTGAACTATGCTTAGGTCACAGCCAAAGATCTTTAAGCTAAAATTAAAGCTTTTTTACAATGAAGTATATTTGAATTCATTTAATTGCTAACTTATTTAATATTTATCTTTCAATCCAGGATGGTAGAAGAACACAACCGCAAAAACCTTGGTTACAAGCTGAAGCTGAATGAGTTCTCTGACCAAACTCCTGAGGAGTTGAGCTACCTGACTGGTACCTACCTCTCGAAGCACCAGGACCCTGACATGAAGCCATTCCCTCACAACTTAGCTGAGATTGATGAAATCGCTGAGGAACTGCCAGAGTACTTCGATCTGAGGATGGAAGGCGCTGTCACTCCTGTTAAGAGTAAGTCCACACTAACTCTCTATTGGTATAAGTGATTAAAACTATATTTAAAAGGAATAAAACCTACAAATCTGGGCCCTCTGTTCAGACATTTTGGATTTTGCTAGCTCAGACAATATATATTTGTTATGAAAGAAATCTGAGCATGATTTTCTTCACCTTATCTATTAATACCGTTTGTGTTTATTAACTAATCATATTTTGTCACATCCAGACCAGGCTCACTGTGGATCTTGCTGGGCCTTCTGCACAACTGCTGCCGTGGAGGGAGCCGTCGCCAGGGCTAACGGTGAGAGGCTAGTGGACCTCAGTGAACAGTCACTTGTGGACTGTGCTTGGGGGTAAGTGAGGAATGGCTGATTTAGAATTAATTGATAACCCTTTGAGCACCATCATTATAGACACAATTAAAGAACAATAGGTTGTGGTCACCGGTGTCCTCGCGGTGTTTGATAGTTTAAGGATTACTAGAGACAGATGTTAACTCTGTCTAGCAATGACTGCACGGTTGATGCGGTGGCTGGGCAACTGGCTGAATTTGGGGATTTGAGGATTTAGGGATTAGGAAAGAGTATGATCTGGCAAATCCAGTGATTTACAAAACTGATGAAAACTATAAGTATACCGTTGTTGACTGCACGGTTGGTGCGGTGGCTGGGCAACCGGCTGCCGTGCAACGTATCGCAGGTTCAATTCCCGCACGGAACAACATTTTGTGTGATCCACAAATTGTTGTTTCGGGTCTGGGTGTGATGTGTATGTGAACTTGTATGTTTGTAAACGCACCCAAGACACAGGAGAAAATCCTAGAGTGGGGCAACGTTTTATTATTTAAAAAAAATAACTTTTCGGGTGTTCTTGATTTTCTAAGACTAAAATCTTGTTAATGTCTTTACTAAATTGTCGTTACACTTATTATTGCTTGAAGGGGTAGAGATGCACAATGTACGCATTTGATTAAACCACTTTTTGCTAGTAAGTTATGTTCATCCAATTTTGTTCACCTCATCGTTTTCGTTGTGGTGAAGATGTCAACAGCCTTGGACACCACGGCTTGTCATGTAGCCGTAGTGCGGGCCGTTTTGCTCGACACGAAAGTATTAATGACATAATTCGTCGAGCTCTTGCCTCCGTTGGCGTGCCAGCTACTTTAGAACCTAATTGCTTGGTACGCGACGATGGCAAGAGACCCGACGGTATGTCATTATTCCTTTGGAAAATGAGTAGGGCTTTAGTATGGGACGCCACTTGCGTTGATACTCTGACGCCATCTCATCTTCCAAGCTCAGCGTGTCGAGCCGCGGGTGCTGCCGCTGCTGCTGCCGAGAACCTCAAACGACGAAAGTATAATAGCCTGATTGGCACAATTATGCCGTGGGGCCCAAGTGCATATCTTCATTACAAAGATATTGTAAGGAGGATGGTTGACACTTCAGGTGATCGAAGGGCTGGCTACTACCTTGGGCAAAGTTAAGCATTGCCATTCAACGTGATAATGCTGCCAGTCTTTTGGGCACCCTACCTCACGGTAGCGATGAGGAAAATGTTTTCTTTGATGCCTTATGATTTTTTTTTAAGGTGTAAATATTTTAGTTTTAAATTATTTTTTTATATTTTAAGTTGTATATATTAATAGTCGCAAAGTAGTGTTATATGTTAGTTTATGTACTTAAAACCATTTGATAGTGAATGAGTTAATTCCCCAACAAACACATACTACATGCGTTTATTTTCTAATCTTATTTTTATAGTTACGACAACGCGGGTTGCAATGGAGGTACCCTGGATGGTGCTATGAAATATGTGCTGACTCACGGTATCCCAACCGAGGAGGAATATGGACTCTACGAAGCTAATGTAAGTTGAATCTAATTTCATAGCAATACTGACATGATTTCCATATGGTATTGGCAGATTGAATTACATTTGTCGCCATTGCTTATGTCGTATATTTCGTAAATAGATAACAACACATAGAACATCCTCTTTAGTAGACGAGGTTCATATTACCAGCAGTTTTATTGAGAGACATACTCTTTTTATTCCAGTAAAGAAAATAGATGAGTATCAATATCTCAGATCGTAGAATTTCGACCGTTGACTGCCTTTACAGTTTAATCAAACCTACGACTTGATCTTTAATTACAATTACTACTTTACTGCATTTTAAACTAATTCTTCTTTTTCCTACACCAGGACGGTATATGCCGCATCCAGAATATGAGCACCACGTACAAGATCCGTGGCTTCGCCCAGGTCACTCCAAGGAACCCCAACGCTCTGAAGGTGGCTCTCAACAAGTACGGACCAGTCACTGTTGCCATCCACGCCAGCGGTCTGATGCAGCACTACGCCAGTGGACTGTTTTATGATTTCTCTTGGTAAGTCATATGTTTACTTTGTTAACTTTTTCTCAGTTTGACCATACGGTACTTTAAGCACGTCTATTCACGATTGGCCGAACCGATTTTTAAGTGGTTTACAGATAACTGTTTGTTACACTTAGGAGAAGGTTTTAGTAGATTAATAAACTGACCTCAAAAAATGATAACCTTATTTTTTTGAAGTCAGTTAGAAATGTTATAAAGTAGTTAAACTCGGTATTTTTAAATTATAATTAATATTATTATAAAGGTTACCTAATTAAAATACTGTGAAGGGATCTGATTCTGAATATTTTTAGTAACTATCGCAGAATTCTACGTTTCAATCCCTATTCCTCAAATCCCTTAGCCTCGAAAGGCTGAAAACGCACTTATAACGCCTATGGTAATGCGGATCCATGGGCGGCGCCGACTGCTTACCATCAGGTGATGCGTCAGTTCGTTAGCCAGCGTTTTCCACAACAAAAAGGATAATTTTAAATACTTAACTTTACAAAAACCTGCATTACTCATCAATACTTAGCATCGTTAAGAAGAATCCCAGGCCAAACCAAGTACTCAATAAAGAGTTTCTTTATATAAAGCTTTTATTGAGGAGATTGTTTGAAAGTGCTAATAATTCTTTTCATAGGATTCGTTGGATAGTGCTTTTATCGAGGAAGGCTATAGTCTATAAAATATCACGCTACAGTCACTAGGAGCCGAGTATAGCGGGTAAAACCGCACAAGGGTGACTAGTAAAGCGTAAAATGATAATTATGGAATTTCCACCCCTTCCAGTGATGAAGACTACCCCAACCATGGAGTCACAGTCATCGGTTACGGTACCCGTGATGGCGAGGACTACTGGATCGTGAAGAACTCTTGGGGAGAAACTTGGGGTGAAGACGGCTTCATCCTCATGTCAGCCAAGAACAACAACTGCTTCGTCCTCGACTCGCCCTACTATCCCATCGTTTAAGTTAAACTTTTAGAATAAATTCCACGTGCTGTTGATTTTGTGTTTTACTTTAGAGATTTTATTAGTGCTAAGATGGTTTTAAAATAGTGTTTCGTCTGTGCAATCATATCACAGAATAATTTTTAAACGACTACGCAAAGTAGAGACATCTATTGGCATTTTCTTCAATCACAAAGTAAGGTAAGTCGCCAAAGTTTATGGCTTGCTAAGATTCCCATTTTTAAATAGAAATAATTATGTGGCGACGCATGCCACATGACGTCACAAGAATCCTACATCGCACATGCAAAGTTTACAAGCGAATAAACACGGATAGAAAATCCCAACGAACAACTGTTGGGCAGAAAGCCCGCCAGGCACGATCACCTCGCCTGGTCGGAGGATCCTCCTTTTCCGATCTTAGGGAACTATACTCTCTGTTCCCTAAAGTGGTGACCCCGACGTGATTGGACCTTCACTTCACGGAGCAGATTAGCACCGTCATCCGTATCGCCATCCCTCTCATTCATCACTTCTCCGCTGAGCGGTAATCAACTCGCAGCCAACCAGCATCCTCGGCCTCATCAGGGACCACCATCACCTGCAACGAAGTTGTGCAGCCTGGTTCTTCCCTACGGCCTCACCAGCGTCTAGGCACAGCACTTCTGCACACGGTTCTGAAGGACATCTCCTCCCGTCAACGCAGATGCCGGCCACTACGCACCTACCCTCGCAGCATCTCTTCCCCGACTCACCGTGGGACACTGCGAACTCATCTCTCCGACTCACTGGAGTTTCACCCTGCACCGCTCACCCGACTCACTGGGCACTCAGCGGCACGGTTCCGACTCACTGGAACTAGGGACGTTCTACACTGGCTCTGGCACCGCTCATCTCAAGCATCGACAGCAGTCTCAGCGGGATCGACCTCCGGTCTTGGGAGGGAGTGATGTGGCGACGCATGCCACATAAAAAAGAAGGAAGGAAAAGGAAGATCCTCCGACCAGGCGAGGTGATCGTGCCTGGCGGGCTTTCTGCCCAACAGTTGTTCGTTGGGATTTTCTATCCGTGTTTATTCGCTTGTAAACTTTGCATGTGCGATGTAGGATTCTTGTGACGTCATGTGGCATGATCGCCACAATTATAATATTCAAAATGTTTAACACAGTATCAAAAGATAGGCAAGCAAAATAAAACAAAACTGTATCGATGACATTCACATAATCCCAACACAATATATTTAGAACAACGCCATCTATCAGAGTTTTCCGGCACCATTCATACAGAAGTTGGAAATAGCCGTCATAAACTCCGGTTATGACTTCGTTTAGCCGCATTTTATTTGAATGCATTAACTTTTATAACATGTTGGCTTACGTGAACGAGTTTGCAAAATGTGGTGCAGTAAAATGGAGTACATTTGAAACGTACCTCACACAATTCTCTTAGGAAAACTTTGTAGGCAAACATGGAGTTTTATAGTTAAGTTCATTACAAAGTTTTGTATTGATTAATGTAATTAAGCATATGTAAATAATTAAGATTATTAGAAGACAATAAAAATAAGTCAATTATTCCATTTTTTATGCGCTAGCTACAGAACTTGGTACCTATTGATAGAAGAATGATTTAAAGTTAACATTTAGCATACTAACCCAAATTCTTATCATACAGTCTCAGTTTTAATTAAAAATAAAGACAGCAAAAACATCTTTTTAATTTGATCACCAAAAGAATTGTAATATGAGTTTCACTAACACCATTAACAGATGTCGCTACTAGTCCTTTATAAGATAAGTGATTTTATCAGCGCAAAACTCGGTCATCACATTTTACGAGTCCACAGGGAAGTTTTTTATTTCCAGGTAACAGAGGAACATAAACTATCCATTTGTTTGGGCACATAAAGTTTTTATATCTATTATCTTACATGTCATAACTTGATATTTGGCTATGAAAGTTATACTGAATAAGCTATATGGATAAAAATGAATTTTTGTTCGTCAGTCTCGCTAAAACTTGAGAACGGTTAAACCGAAATGGCTTGAAATGTTCAAAAAGTCCAGGGAGGGTTTAAAAGGCGAAAAAATTTTTTTGAGGCAACACGAAGTTTGTCAGGTCAGCTAGTATTATGATAATGTCCATAAGTCCTCGATGGGGCAGGCAGGCGTATATATATTCTGATTTCCGCTTGTTATGCCCTATTGCAGAGGGCGAGTCTATTACTAAACGTTGCAAGTAAATATCAAAGATTTTTAATTGACAGACAGAATTTTTTTTTCTCTGGTTTGCAGTGAAAGAAAGAATGACAATTTTTTTCTTTATTTCACACGCTAAAAAACGAGTGAAAATTACAGATTATTATTATACCATATATATCACGATAGACTGCGCGGTTGGTGGGGTGGCTTGGAAACCGGCTGCCGTGCAACGTGTCGCGGATTCGATTTTCGCACGGAACAACAATTTGTGGATCACACAAAGTGTTTCGGGTCTGGGTGTCATGTGTATGTGAACTTGTATGTTTGTAAACGCACCCACGACACAGGAGAAAATCCTAATGTGGGGGAATGTAAACAAAAAAAAAGAAAAGATATGTTCATGTCTCAAGTCTGCGGTGAAATGGCACCAGTTCAGCATGTGCAGGACAGGGCCTTGCGCTGGTATTCAAATGACCGCTTAAGTGACTTGCCCAAGTGAAAACCTCAATAAAAACAATGCATACGTCATTTTTCTCAGCATCTTGGGCGCCGGTATTATAATTTCCAAGTTGTTTGCCAAGCTTGGGGATTATGGAAAACCATTTTTTACAAAGTAGTATAAGCTAATGACAATGATAAATCATCATCATCATCACAACAGCCCATAAATACGCACTGCTGAGTAAAGCTTCTTCTCACACGGAGAAGGTTTGAGCATTAATCACCACGCTTACTCAATATGGGTTGGCGATATCAAACTTTTAATTAGAAATTACAAGCCCAGGTTTCCTCACGATGTTTTTTCTTTACCATTTGTCAGTGGTGTCTGAATAATCTTAGAAAGTACATATAACTCGGACAAAGTTACATTGGTACTTGCCGTTGCTAGGTTTCGAACCCACACTCTCATGCATGAGAAGTGGGCGTCTTAACCCGTCGAACGTCCGCGTTCCTTATGCATTTCCTTATCCTTATGCATGCAAGAAAATGCATTTATTTGGCCATTGGCACACGAAAACAAGGATCATTACATTAGAAATAAAACAAATATAGTCAAAATAAAAACAAAACATTAATAATAGATTTTATAAAAGAGAAAGCAGCCTGGAGCATTTTTTCTTATGATCCACCGGATGCTCATAAGGACGCTCGAGGGGTTAAACCTAAAGATCACCATGACCACAATGATAAATCCACGATTGAATCTAATAGCCCACGTTCAGCAGCCAGACTTACACATACAGACAAACACACGACAAAGATGTAGGAATTTAATCATTTTAAGAGATTTACTTGAACATACGTAATGTGCTCAACATGTGTCACAGGAATGGGAAACCATTGTCGGTACTTATTCAATGAGCGCCTAATCCCTAATACCGGCTTCCTTGGCACGCAGTGCTTAAGAAAATTGAATATTCGAAAATGAGTGCTCATTACTTCTTCTTTGGATTTAGACGTCGCTTGTTTGGTATACTGGGTTTCATTTTGAAAATTGACAGTGTTTGAAAATCTATAGATTTGGATAGAGAAGATGACAGTGTATGAAAATCTATAGATTTGGATAGAGAAGATGACAGTGTATGAAAATCTATAGATTTGGATAGAGAATGCCATCCGGCATTAATCCCGCCATTGTATATACATTTGTACATAAAGTGTTAAAATAAAATATAAATAAATCTTTATATATATAATTCTTCTGTGAGTGTGTATGGCACTGAACTTCTCTCAAACGACTGGACCGATTTTGATGAAATTTTTTGTATGTGTTCAAGGGGATCTGGGAATGGTTTAGATTCACAAATCAGCCCGGCAGATGGCGCTATCTAGGTAATTTATCTATACCTATTATTATATTATTATTATTATATGCAGGACAACGTCTGTCGGGTCCGCTAGTAATTTATAAAAATGATGTAATCCGTTTTCCGTTGTCACGCCATAACTTGAAAACGGCTAGACCGATTTGGCTGATTTTTTTTGTTGTGTTTATTATTGTCAGCAGAAGGTTCTTATGACAGAAAAAAGTCCAGAAAATCCCACGGGAACGGGAGAAAACGGGATTGCGCGTACGAAGTCGCGGGCAGAAGGTGAAAAATATAATTGGTCAGTCAGTTGATAATAAATAAATATTAGACACGTATTTTTAATTTTGTTATATAAGAATACTATACAGAGGCTGATGTCGATACGGAGCCGCGGAGGACTTAACGGGTTGCCGGAGCTCCGGCTCGAAGTGCAGGAGTAGGAACGGGGTGGCTTTTAGTCAGTAAGAGTCTGACACTTCCTCCCGCCTCACCCAGGCGGGAGCAGTCATTCGATGATTTTACCCTCTTAAATAACCCTCATGCATGAGAAGCGGACTATTTAAAGCCGACTAAACTCCGAGCCACCACTACATAATTTATGTTACAGAACAATGTTTAATGGCATTCCATATTGTTACAAATGATAGGTTACCTGAACCAAGAATCGAACTCCAGATCTCTTGTACGGCGGTCTTCCTGACTATGACTTGACGCACAGGGCAAGCTTATAAACAATAAAAGCAAGTACAACGACCACCATTAATATCTTGTCGCGTATTATTTTAGGGAAATTCTTCAAAGTCGTCTCTCTGAAACTGTCATTATTCATAAAGATGTTATACAGTTTATTATCAAATTGTTTCAACTTTTCAATGCAATAAATAATTAAAAAATTATCATACTCTCATCCGTTGATTTGACAATTTACTTACTTTTGAATATTTTCTCGCTAATTGTATGGAAATAAGTATGCTGTTTGATGCAGAAATACGATGACGTTATAAGTAGC